TGTGCCAAGCATTGCAAGTATGCCAAGCGTATGTGAGGCATGTGCCAAGCATTGCGAGTATGCCAAGCGTATGTGCGGCATGTGCCAAGCATTGCGAGTATGCCAAGCGTATGTGCGGCATGTGCCACGCGAGTGTGCCAAGCGTATGTAAGGCATGTGCCACGCGAGTATGCCAAGCGTAGGTGAGGCATGTGCCACGCGAGTACGCCAAGCGTATGTCAGTGAGGCATGTGCCAAGCATTGCGAGTATGCCAAGTGTGTGTGAGGCACGTGCCAAGCATTGCGAGTATGCCAAGCGTATGTGAGGCGTGCGCCAAGCGTTGCGAGTATGCCAAGCAAGTGAGGCGTGTGCCAAGCATTGCGAGTATGCCAAGCGTGTGAGGCATGTGCCAAGCATTGCGAGTATGCCTAGCGCATGTGAGACATGTGCCAAGCATTGCAAGGATGCCAAGCGTGTGAGGCATGTGCCAAGCATTGCGAGTATGACAAGCGTATGTGAGGCATGTGCCAAGCATTGCGAGCATGCCAAGCATTGCGAGTATGCCAAGCATGCGTGATACATGTGCCAAGCATTGCGAGTATGCCAAGCGTGTGAGGCATGTGCCAAGCATTGCAATATGCCAAGCGTGTGACGCATGTGTCCAGCTTTGCGAGTGTGCCAAGGCCAAGTGTGTGAGGCATGTGCCAAGCATTGCGAGTATGCCAAGCGTGTGAGGCATGTGCCAAGCATTGCGAGTATGCCAAGCGTGTGAGGCATGTGCCAAGCATTGCGAGTGTGCCAAGCGCGTGATGTGCCAAGCATTGCGAGTATGCCAAGCGTGTGAGGCATGTGCCAAGCATTGCGAGTATGCCAAGCGTGTCAAGCATTGCGAGTATGCCAAGCGTGTGAGGCATGTGCCAAGTTGCAGTGCCAAGCATTGCGAGTATGCCAAGCGTGTGAGGCATGTGCCAAGCATTGCAATATGCCAAGCGTGTGACGCACGTGTCCAGCTTTGCGAGTATGCCAAGGCCAAGTGTGTGAGGCATGTGCCAAGCATTGCGAGTACGCCAAGCGTGTGAGGCATGTGCCAAGCATTGCGAGTATGCCAAGCGTGTGAGGCATGTGCCAAGCATTGCGAGTATGCCAAGCCTGTGAGGCATGTGCCAAGCATTGCGAGTATGCCAAGCGTGCGAGGCATGTGCCAAGCATTGCGAGTATGCCAAGCGTGTGTGAGGCATGCGCCAAGCATTGCGAGTATGCCAAGCGTATGTGAGGCATGTGCCAAGCATTGCGAGTATGCCAAGGCCAGTGAGTGAGGCATGTGCCAAGCACTGCAAGGATGCCAAGCGTACGCCAGGCATTGCAAGGATGCCAAGCGTGTGAGGCATGTGCCAAACTTGTGAGTATGCCATAGGTGTAAGGCATGTGCCAAGCATTGCGAGTATGTGCCAAGCATTGCAAGTGTGCCAAGCGTATGTGAATCATGTGCCAAGCATTGCGAGTATGCCAAGCCTATGTGAGTCATGTGCCAAACATTGCGAGTATGCCAAGCGTGTGTGAAGCATGTGCCAAGCATTGCAAGGATGCCAAGCGTATGTGCGGCATGTGCCAAGCATTGCGTGCATGCCAAGCGTATGTGAGGCATGTGCCAGGCATTGCGCGTATGCCAAGCGTATGCGAGGCAGGTGCCAATCATTGGAAGGATGCCAAGCGTGTGCCAAGCATTGCAAGGGTGCCAAGTGTGTGAGGCATGTACCAAGCATTGCAAGGATGCCAAGCGTACGTGAGGCATGTGCCAAGCATTGCAAGGATGCCAGGAGTGTGATGCATGTGCCAAGCACAAGCGTATGTGAGGCATGTGGCAAGCATTTCGAGTATGCCAAGCGTATGTGAGGCAAGTGCCAAGCATTGCGAGTATGCCTAGCGTATGTGAGGCATGTGCCAAGCATTGCGAGTACGCCAAGCGAATGTGAATCATGTGACAAGCATTGCAAGGATGCCAAGCGAATGTGAGGCATGTGCCAAGCATTACGAGTATGCCAAGCGTATGTGGATCGTGCGCCAAGCATTGCAATGCTGCCAAGCGTGTGTGAGGCATGTGCTAAGCATTGCAAGTATGCCAAGCGTATCTGAATCATGTGCCAAGCGTGTGAGACGGGGCCAAGCATTGCGAGTATGCCAAGCGTATGTGAGGCATGTGCCAAGCATTGCGAGTATGCCAAGCATATGTGAATCATGCGCCAAGCATTGCAAGGATGCCAAGCGTATGTCGAGTATGCCAAGCGTGTGAGGCATGTGCCAAGCATTACGAGTATGCCAAGCGTATGTGAGGCATGTGCCAAAAGCAGTGCGAGTATGCCAAGCGTATGTGAATCATGTGCCAAGCATTGCAAGGATGCCAAGCGTATGTGACAAGCATTGCGAGCCCGCCGACAACAGACGGCGTGTTGGACATAAGAAATGCTCCTTACCTCTTTACCTGTTACCCCTCCCCTAACCCCTCCCCAGGGGACAATTGCGGGGGGGGGGGGGGGGTCCACGTACCACGCGGTGATTCGATTCGAAGACGCTTCACTAAATCTGTTCATTGTGCGGGCTTGCGCAACTGCTTGGCACATGCGTCACACATGCTGAGCATACTTGCAATGCTTGGCACATGCCTCACCTGCTTGACGTACTTGCACTGCTTGGCACATGCCTCACCTTCTTGGCATGCTTCAAATGCTTGGCACATGCCTCACCTGCTTGACGTACTTGCAATGCTTGGCACATGCCTCACCTTCTTGGCATGCTTCAAATGCTTGGCACATGCACATGCCTCACATATGCTTGGCACACTTGCAATGCTTGGCACATGCCTCACATATGCTGATCATACTTGACGTGCTTGGCACATGCCTCACATATGTTCGGCACACTTGCAATGCTTAGCACATTCCTCACCTTCTTGGCATGCTTCAAATGCTTGGCACATGCCTCACATATGCCTGCCATTGCTTGCCAGGCTTGAATATCTTCCCATGCTCGAGTTGCTTTCCATGCACCCAGTTTGTCAAAAACATTGGGGTGTTCGATTCCCCCCGGGTGCTCTTTCGCATCCTTAGCAGCTCCAGTGGCACATCGCCAGCATCACCTGCATCATCCGCATCAGCGCCTGCCAAGGATGCAGATGATGCAAGTGATGCTGGGGATGTTGCCCATGCTGGTGAAGGAAAAAAATGAAGGGGGGAAAGGGGGAAAGGATCTCAACAGCGAAAGGGGGGGAAAGATCTCAGTGAGGAAAGGGAGAAGATCCCAGGCAGGGAAAAGGCCTTAGGGGGGAAAGGGGGCAAGGATCTCAACAGGGAAAGGGGCAAAGGATCTTAGGGAGGAAAAGGGAGAAGATCTGAAAAGGCCTTAGGGGGAAAAGGGGGAAAGGAGCTCAACAGGGAAAGGTGGGAGAGGATCCTAGGGAGGAAAAGGGAGAAGATCTTGGGGGGAAAGGGGGAAAGGATCTCAACCAAGGGAAAAGATCTTGGGGAGGACAAGGGAGAAGATCTCAGGGGGGGAAAGGCCTTAGGGGGGAAAGAGGGGAAAGGACCTCAACAGGGACAGGGGGCAAAGGATCTTAGGGAAGAAAAGGGAGAAGATCTTGGGGGGGAAAGCGCCTTACGGCCTTTGCCCCCCAGATCTTCTCCCTTTCCTCCCTAAGATCTTTCCCCCCCTTTCCCTGCTCAGATCCTTTCCCCCCTTTCCCCCCTACGGCCTTTGCCCCTGAGATCTTCTCCCTTTTCCTCCCTAAGATCTTTTGCAATTTTTCCCTGTTGAGATCCATTCCCCCTTTCCCCCCTAAGGCCCTTTCTCCCTCTGAGTTTTTCCCTTTTCCTCCCTACGATGTTTTCCCCCCTCTCCCTGTTGAGATCCTTTCCCTCCTTTCCCCCCTAAGGCCTTTTTTTCCCCCGCGATCTTCCCCCTTTTCCTTCCTAAGATCTTTTCCCCCCTTTCCTTGTTGAGATCCTTTCCCGCCCTTTCCCCCCGGGGGGAAAGGGGAGAAATGATCTCAACAGGGAAAGGGGTGGAAAAGATCTTAAGGAGGAAAGGGAGAAGATCTGGGGGAAAAAAGGCCAACAGGGAAAGGGGGGAAAGATCTAAGGAAGGAAAAGGGAGAAGCTCTCAGGAAAGGGAAAGGCCTGAGGGGGGAAAGGGTGGGAAGGATCTCAACAGGGAAAGGGGGGAAACAATCTTAGGAAGGAAAAGGGAGAAGATCTGGAAAGGCCTTAAAGGGAAGGGGGGAAAGGATCTCAACAGGGAAAGGGGGCAAAGGATCTTAAGGAGGAATAGGGAGAAGATCTCAGCGGGGGGAAAGGCCGTAGGGGGGAAAGGGGGAAAAGGATCTCAACAGGGAGAGGGGGGAAAACATCTTAGGGAGGAAAAGGGAAAAAATCAGAGGGAGAAAAGGCCTTAGGGCGGAAAGGGGGAATGGATCTCAACAAAGAAAGGGGGGCAAAAATCTCAGAGGGGAAGGGGGCAAGGGGACAATTCCAAAGGGACGCAAATAAGAAAGCAGGCCTGTAATGTCGGCGGCCTGAGCCGGAGGCACTAAAATATGCCAAGCGTATGTGGAGGCATGTGCCAAGCATTGCGAGAATGCCAAGCGTATGTGAGGCATGTGCCAAGCATTGCAAGTATGCCAAACGTGTGAGGCATGTGCCAAGCACTGCGAGTATGCCAAGCGTGTGAGGCATGTGCCAAGCATTGCGAGTATGCCAAGCGTATGTGAATCATGTGCCATGCCAAGCGTATGTGAGGCATGTGCCAAGCATTGCGAGTGTGCCAAGCGCGTGAGGCAGATCAAGCATTGCATGGACTGGCCGAATTGGCCCGGGACCCATGAGTGTCACCCATCTTTGCCAGCTCATAGTTCCTGAGACGCACGAAGCACGCTTCATCAATAGCTCAATGTGTCTGAACACTGGGCTTTCGACAAGGATTTACTCCCCCTCCAGGCGGCTTGAGCCAGCGGCTTGAGCCAGACTGCAAAAGAAACAGCATACAATCCGTGCTGTGGGTCCGGGAATGTCTTCCTTCCGTCGGCAATGGTGCATGTCAACATGTGCGCATGTAAGTCACAGCTGCAGCATGGAGGAACATTCGGGCCGACTGCTCATCAATTGCAGAGGCTGACTCACAAAACTGAAGTAAGCCTCAGCGAACAGACGTTTTTGCAAAGCAATTGTTACACGTCTCACCAAGAGCTTAATGCGAGTTCTGAGCATACAAAATGAGAGTCCCATACGCTCTATCATCCGTCTCACAAAAAGCTTCTGGCAAAAAGCTGCCAGTAGTGCCCGAGAGGACAGCTGGCAAACTCGCTAACTTGAGGAAAGCTATGCTTCGAGCGCTGATCTTTTAGACCCGCGCAGGCATTAACATGTTGCCGCTGGCAACCGAGTTGGCTCAAGGCGCACTCTCTCCGCTCTCTCACTACGGCTCACTGCTTTGTCCATATGGTGATAGCCACACTGCGCTGGACCCACCTTGAAGCTTTGTGGGTATTGGCATGGCTCCCATGTCAACACGAGGGAGTCTGAGGGCACGAGCACGGCGTGTGGAATCTCTTTCGGCGATTTCAGAGCGAAAGCGCTGATCTTGGTCCAAACGCAAAAACTTGAAGTAGTTCAAGGTCCAAACGGGGTAACGCTCTTGGCTCCAAACGGGATCAAACGGGGTTCGAGCAGAGAAAAAGCAGCTCCGTTGCAAGCGCAGCTCCGTTGCAAGCTTGCCAAGATTGCTGAGTCACGCGCCAGCAGTCCCCTGCTCGTGTTGAGGTACACCGGCACCCGCAGATTGTCGGCTGCCTGCTTGCACCTCAGTCGGCTGCCAGAGCTGCCAGCTGTCACCGAGCAGTCCGAGCAATACTCCGACTGACCCCTCCGACCAGTGCGACCAGTCCGACCGTCCGACCGTCCGACCCGGAGCTGAGCTCTAGGGACGGAGCTCGGCCGAGTCGATGTGAACCCATCGGAGCCAAAGATTTGGCAGCGCCTCGGGAGCGCGCTTACGCTCTAAAAAAAGACCTAACATACCTGACATAGCCTGACATACCTGACATACCTGACATACCTGACATACCTGACATACCTGACATACCTGACATACCTTACGCTTTCAGAAATCGGTTGAACTGAACGGAGTTCACACGAATCTTTTAACAACATGATCGATCTTGAAACATTCACATCCCACAGAGGGCACTGCCACAGTCAGCTCCTCTGTGACACAAAGCTGTGTGTCACCCCAGGCGGCGCCCTCCATTTGTAGCCTCCGAATCAACGCAGAAGCATTTCAAAGACAGATTCGGGAAGATGATGCGACTGAGGCCACTGAGGCGTCGTCCCAGTCATCTCAAAGACATCGTCGCCCGTGGCAGACCCACCTTTGAACCACTCAGCCCAAGCTGGGACGAATGACGAATGCGCACGCCGTGCCTATCTGCACCACGAGGTTCAGCTCCTGCGCGTCAACTGCACCACTTCCGAATCGCCGCTCGCCGCTCGCCGCTCCTCCAGAGACACCTGCTTCTGCTGAGCCACCGCCTGTGTCCAGTCTCCAGTCTCCACACTCAGGGCCTGGCAGGTGGCCTGTCGGGAGGCTGTGAGGAAGGCTTCCGGGAAGAACAAGCCGCCATACCAAAGCCGATGCTTCTGCAACCTCGCGTGGAAAAAGATTCGTGTGTCAGCCGTGCGTGACGAAGCGAGCCCCCAGCGAGCTGCAGGCCACAACGGCTTGCAGCTGGTCCAAGCGCTTCACCATGTCAGCCTTTGCAGCTGTGCTTCACATGAGATGGCAGGCTTGAGGCCAGGACCAAGTACTCCGTGGCAGTGACTTCAGCCTAAACTCAACTCAAGTCTCTCGGGTGGAGATCTCACTCAGTCCCGAGCCATTGCAAAGCGCCTCCACGCCTTTGGTACCTGCGATGTATCGATTGATGGGGGCGATTGGGTCATGGTGGCCAAGCCTGGTCAGTCGTCAAGTCCTTGCCAGACAAAGCAAAAACCAAGCGAGACAAGGGACATCACGCGAAAACTGAGTCCTGAATCAGCTGCCGAACCTCATTAGTGCTCTTCGCACCTGGCCGGGCGTCCGACATGCCGAGTGCCAATTGGAGCCATTTCTTCCAAAGGGATTGCCATTCGCAACTCGGGGCACTTCCCTCGCAGGCTGCAGACAGCAAGGAGAGGTCTTGACGCACTTTCTTCAGGAGCGACCTCCGCTCGAGTCTGGCGAAAGGCTGTGCGCTCATGTCGCTCATGTGGCGCCTTCCAAAACCGGTCTCCCGGTCATAGCAGCGCCTAAGAGCGCTGGCTTGACACTTTGAGGCACGAAGGCACGAAGCTCCGGGCCAAAGTGGGTCTCGCAAGGAAGCTTCGGTTCGGTGAAGCGAATCCAGAGTCTCCGGCCTCATGCGCACGTCTCAGTGACTCTCTTTTAGACTTTCATTTCAAACTCACACTTTCCTGGATTAGGCCACCTGTAGGCAGCTTTCTGGAGGGCATACAACATCGCGAAACCGCGCGGCTTTCACACGCTTCTGCAAGCTAAAACAACCTGGACTTACCTGCTGCTCAGTTGTGCTTGCGACGCTACTTGGCTGTCAACCTCGATTGCTGGCAACAGCGTGGCTCAATGCACAGCCCCTAGATCCAGCTCTGCCACTTGGCTCCGTTAGCGCTCGCGCAAAGCATCGAGCCCATGCTTCCATCTCCACCAGGCACCTAGAAACTTCCCCCCGCTTGCAGACTGCCACGACTGACCTGTCAGCTCCCCTTGGCGACCCAGATCTTACAGATCTTACAGATCTTGCAAATGAAAATCACGACTGGAAAAATGATCAGTCGCCGCTCGTCACGCCGAAGGCGCAGAGTGACAGTTGGCGTGGAAGTGCTCTCGACCAGCCAACTGACCAGACAGGGCGATAACCCTGCCTCCAAATGATGTAAACTCCTGGACACCGCTCAGTTCAGGAAAAAACACGTCGACCTTGCGGCGCCAGATTCCCTCACGCCCCCTGCGCAGTATACATCCTGGTTGGGCAATTTCCTTTCGAGGAGCGAAGCAGCGCGCCCCGTGTGGAACATCCCTGCCTCTCAGGATCGACTAATTGACGTCCAAGTCTTGTTAACGTAGAACCCTTCCGCCGCTTCTTGCTTCAAAGTTCTCGTCTCAGTAGCGGCTACCCCAGCAGCTTCCTTGCTCCAAAAGCTAATTGTTACCCAAGCGAGGGCCTCTGCACGCCGGGTCGCGAGCCCTTGCAGGGGAGGCGATCCTCTTAGACTTAAAAAACAATATTGTTTTTTAAGTCTGTGCTGAGCCTGCGCTGGTTTTTGTGCTTTTGTGGCTCTTGGCAGGGAGATCTTCACGTGTCGCCTTGCCAGTGGCTGACCCGCTTGTTTCCGCAGGCTCTGCGCTTCCGAGGGCATGGAAGCCGCGCAGGGCCGCTGTGCAGCCTGGACGCCCTGCCCAGCCGACACAAGAAGAAACTAACGAGATCATTCGACCGGGGTCCGGCAAACACACACAACCATTTACACAAGCAGTTTTGTCCAACACACACACACACACACTTGACTGCGAGGATAACCGGCTAGCCTGCAGCCGGAGCAACATCAACGTCAAGTCCAGCGTTCCGGGCAAGCCTCCAGTCTTTCCGAATCGTGGGCAACTCGAGCCCCGTCTCCTTGATTAGGAGGAACAATGAACTCCGCCGCGTTTAGACAACAACCTTGTCGGCAGGCCCTGCCCTATCCAGCAAGACCACAAAACGTTCTACGAGGGAGCCCAAACGCCGGACTTGGCACATGAGCGCGGAGAACACCCAATCCCTGCGACTCAGTTTTGGGCAAGTTCAATGCTCGAAGAAATCGCTTTACGCCCAGAAGAGGCTCACCGATTTCACCAGGCTTAAAGCCCACAAAGGTTGAGAGCCAACCCGATCATTTCGGCCTGCAACAAAAAGCCAGGAGCACCCAAAACCATGAAAAAGCTTTACTGTAAAAAAACGAGTTGTTTCTAGTGCTTGTTAAAAAAAGAAGAAACAAAACTGGTTTTGGTTATTCGCAGGAACATATCTATTGTGGCGTTTGGTATCTTGAATAGTCAGAATATTCCTAAGTGGGAACGCCAGACTGACTATTTGAAGAGGGTATAGGGATGCAGCCTGTTTCTACAATTTAGCAAAAGGCTAAACCTGCGGCGCGTGCATTCAATGCAATATAAGCCGTCCTCTTGCAGCAGAACGTGGTTTGACTTAGCAAAGCCCCAGCTCGGCCTGGAAAGGGCACTCTTCTTTGCTTCAGTGTGCATCCTTAAGACACAGCACATTTGCGACTTGTTGCTCCAGCGCAGACATGGACATAGGACTGTGCTTCCCAAAACAAAAAGAGTTGGCACGTTTTGGTTTCCAGGATGCTTTGGGATTCAAAGCCTTTGAAACACACGACACATTTTGGAGAAATGGCCATAGCTTAGATGGCCACTGTTTGCAGGTCGGTTTCAGAGCACAACTGGGCCTGCTTGGTTGCGATATAAGCCAATGCCAAAGACTACCAGTCCAACTAGTGAACCTCAAAAGGGCTAGGTGCATGCGAGCTAGACGCTGTTCAGTTCTGTTCTTCGCAAAGTCAAAGTCCATTCAACAGACGCCTTGCTTCTGACCCAGCAAGACTTGTTGGGTCAGGGATGGCAACGGCACGCTGCGTGTTTCTACAGAAAAGGTCCTGGTTGTTTACACATTCCAAGCCTAGACGCAACTAGTTGTTCAATTCATGCCACTTCTTGCTTGTCACACAGGCAGTGCTTTTCAATGTGTCTCGGTTGGTTGATATTGAATCAGCGAGGCCCCAGCTCTGAAATAGAAATGAAGCCCTGCTTTCTTCAGCTGTCGTATGAAAATGCCACAAAAAGATCATGTTCAAACGCCGCCTCACTTTGTTGGGAGTGCGCGCAGTGACTCTGTATGTTTTTATTCTGATAGGTGGTTGTTTAGCGGGCCTTACTAAAAGGAGGCGCGGCATTTACATAATAGACGTTTTTACATGTTCCTTCCACATGTTGCTGCAAACCCCCGGGTCCTGCCCAACTCTTTGAATAACAAACTGCGCAAAATACTGTTAATCCGTTTACGAAACCACGGCCCTTGAATACGACATCTGCCTGGAGAAAGCGCAGCAATAGAACTGTATTATACGCAGTGCCGAGACGCAGCCGCACGTTCCATATGCCAGAAGGGTAGGGGCCGCGCTTGCTTGAGAAGAGAGTATGTATAGATTGTTTGCAATGTCCTGCCACTGAGGTTTACTGACTAGTGTTGGGTCTTGATTAGCAATGTGGACCTGAATAGCGTCCACTTGTTCCCTTTGGTTCAGTGGACCAGAATAGCGTCCACTGTTTTTCCCGAGTGGGTGGAAAACCATAAAACACTAGTTTAAAAAATCTAACTCCAAAAACAACACCCAAAACCAGTTTGTACCATACAAAATGTTGCTTGCGCTTGCAAAAAGCATCAAAAAATGGCCCTTGAACTGCAGTTCCTGTTCCCAACCAAAATCGGCTTCAACTGCTTCAAATCTGGCTCCTGAAGGCTGCAGTTTCCCATCTCAGAAACATCACCAGCTCTGGGAATGCAAATTACTTGCTAAGCCTTGCTGAACAAATACAAAAACAATCAGGGCAAGGGCGCCCCACACAACTCCCCGAATAAGGGCCATTGTTCAGGTGGACAAGAATAGTGCCCTGCCCAAAGCCCCAAACATTGCGCATTCCTTTTGCTTGTCATTTTCGAGCAGCCATTTTTATTGGCCCACTAAACTTTGTCAGTCACAGAATCCAACACCAACTGTGGCCCCTGAAGTCTCAGAAACATCCCCAGCTCTGAGAATGCAAACTTTATGCCTTGTTTAAAAATGCAAAAAACACAACGCAAGGGTATCCCACACAAATCCCCAAACCAGAATCAGGGCCATTGTTTAAGTGGACTGGAATAGTGCCCTGCCCCCAGCCCCCCATCCCAACTTTGTCCATTGCTTTTACTTTTAAAGCAACCCTGTTTTTTGCCCACTTAAACTTGGGCAACTCACATCCAGCAACACTAAATCAAATAGATGGAAGCTCAAATCAAGTTCAAAGGAAGCTCCAGCAAAAAAAACAAATGGAAACTCACATGCAACAATACTAAATCAACTACATGGAAGCACACATCAAATTCAAAAGAAAGCTCCAGCAACACTACATCAAATGAAAACTCAAATCCAGCAACACTACTAAATCAACCAGATGGAAGCTCCAACTAAATTCAAAAATAAGCTCCAGCAGTACTAAACCAAGTGGAAACTCAAATCTAACAACGCTGAATCAAATAGACGTCCAATTCGAAGGAAGCTGCAGCAACACTCGATCGGTTGGAAACTCAAATCCAGCAATACTAAATCAAACACATGGAAGCTCAGATCAGATTCCAAAGGAAGCTCCAGCAATACTGAATCAAATGGAAACTCAAATCCAACAACACTAAATCAAAGATATGAAATTCCAACTCAAAAGGAAGCTCCATCAATATTGAATCAAATGGGAGCTCAAATCCAACAATATTAAATCAAATATATGGCAGCTCAAATCAAATTCGAATGACAGCTCCGGGCCTCAAATCCAGCAACACCAAATCAATCAAATGGAAGCTCAAACTAAATTCAAAAAGAAGCCCCCGCAGTACTACATCAATGAAAAGGAAGCTCCAATCAAATTGAAAAGTGCTTGCTAGACTAAAGTAGTATTGAGCCCCGGGTCCTCCAGTTTGGATGTCCATTGTTTGCCACTATTCGAGCGCGCCCATTGTTTAGGGGGATGGGTTTCAATTATTTTTACATGTTTTGGTGGATTTTGTGACCAAGGCTCGAAAACCAGGTTTTATGGCCGTAAAAAGCACGTTAAACAACGCGTACCCGTAAAAGGCCCGTAGCAATGCGTAAAAAACCCGTAAAAAGCCGTAGGAAAACACGTAAATTTCCGTTATTAAAAAAAACCGGAGACAGCAGTACTTGAGAGCAAGACCGTTTGGCTTGGAGGAATATAGGGTAGAATGAGCGCAGAACCTTCATCCTTGTTTGCCATGCTCAGCCAGACGGAGCTGAGCGTACTACAGTTGGAATGCTTTTGGGCTTCTTTGCATGTTCATCATCATCATGTTCATCATCATCCTCATCATCATCATCATCATCATCATCATTTGCATCATCATGTTCCTTTCATCATCAAAACCGTGGCGCTCTTCTGTTTCCCAAAAACCCTTCTGGGGTTGGGTTCTCGCTTAGTTGTCTAACCGCGAGGGAGCGAGGATCGGCAGGGGTTCGGCCTGAGGTGCACCATGTTTGCAGCATGCCGTGTAAACGCCACTGGCCGGGAAACG